CAATAATAGTCTAAATTTGTTCTCTCGCGTCAAGGTTATGCCCATCCAGGGTGGTGTTAGTGATACAAAATGTTTAATAATATGCATTGCTTGTACGAACCAAAATTTCAACGGACTGAAACTGGAAAAGGAAGATACACACTGCTGGAGCCTAGGTATGTTAACTTATTTTTTGTGCATGTATTGTTGTTAGTTTATAAGACTTCTGATTCTAATTAAATCTCCAAATGAATAAATTTGAGACTGGAAATTATTTATAGTCGTGCATTTTCATTTAGATATGCAGTCTGTCTGTGTAGTTGCGTTTATCTGCAACGATCTATTAGAAAGTACTCACGATGCTAACGTTATGTCGACTTACACTAAATCTGTAGGATAGTTAGAAAGATTTCCATCGAAGAAGGAGTTTGATGAATAAAAGTCGTCACTTGGTATTTGCCCTAAGTGATGACTTCAAAAGCATTTTTGCGGATCGATTGGGTTGTTTTCCGATGAATTGTATCATTGTTCCTAATTTTTTCGGTATCAACCCACGCAATTGCTAGTGTAACTTACGAGTTTGTGACGCGTCTCGTAGGCGTGACGCCAGACGTCTATAAATCTCGAATGAAAGCGTAAGATCTGTCTTAATGTTCCTGTAATTACTACCTAAGTGTCTAGAACCAAAATATGTAAACTTAAAATTCGAACAAGCATTTGTCCTTGATATGAAGAGGATATTAGTAAATAAATCACATTTAGCAATCATTTATTTATAATATTTTAATTAGCATACGGAAATAACAACTTAACTGCAGCATCAATATTTTCCGTATTACAATGTTTCGCGAAATTGTACGTTGTTATTATAGTTATTACGCGTGCTTTTCAAGTGTGTGATAAACAGTATAATTTATTCTCGGTTTTGTGGTTTTGACCTCAGTCTCGTCGTATTGTTGACTGTTCTGAAGCATGTTTTCTATTATCCTCGCGATTCGTCATTTTCTTTTGTAGTCAAATGGCGTTTCATGTTTTATGTGTGCCTCGTTTCCAATTTAGTGAAGTACGTGCTTTCTTTAGAAAAAAGGTAGAGGATAAGGACTTTTTTTGTAAATTGAAATACGTATTCTAAATAGGTATAAATGTAATGACTGTCATTTGCTGGTTTGGGTAATGAATTGAATCATGGATATGTATTTGGTCTTTTATCTAGGTGTTATAAAGAAGACTGATGCCTGTATCTAGACTTGGGCTCTATCTGCGAGGATGTTCTGGATTTTCGGCAAGACACTGTTATCTGCCCTCAACCTCGACTCGTGGACATACAATCAAAGTTCACGGCAGCCGCGAGTTCAAACCGGTTGTCTAACTAAACAGCTCATGACTGCATTACTACTCCAATAACCTATATTAATCGTTATCTGACGGACAAGAAATTTAACACTCCCGCTAATGATAATGTGTTCAATTCATTTCAGTCAAAGGGGCGTTCATGTTTATTGTAACGTAGGTTTTCTATTCAACATAAAACCTACGCCCCCCTTTGCTTTGGTGTTTTTTGGTCCTTTGATGCGCACCATTGAGTTTGAAACGACGCGACGTTGCAAAAATTGATCTTGAAAGGATAAGGTCACTGACAATTTAGTAACGGTCAAAGTTTAAATGTATAGCCGTGGAACCTTTGGTAAAAACAACAGTTTGCACAATAGGACTAGGAAAGCGTATCTTCTATTTCTGAACTTACATCCGTAACAAGGAAGTGAATTCCAATTAACCTACTAGGTACAATAGTAAATCAATTAATTCAAAGAGACAACTTAATGTCAACTTGTAATGGCTTGGCAACATAATTGCTAGCTGATTGAAATATATAGGCATCGATTTCTAAGGTTATGTGATCTTAGAACCTTTTGCCACTGATGTAACATCCAACCATTATTGCGAATTCAATTAATGATATCCGATTTATCCATTAAACAGCTACCTTATAACCTAATTATGTTTAGAGGTCAGAACTGCATCTAATCAACTGTCATCAACGGACATGACCCATATAATTCAACGTCGCAATTCAAATATCAATATTTATTGTTAAAACAAATCTAATTAATGATCATTAGTAGTTCGTTAGTGTTTCTGTTCGCGCGTGTTAGATGTATACGTTTGATATAAATGCAAAATAGAACTTTTTTACTACGTAACGTAGTAAATACATATTATACTAAATATTTGATCATCTTGGTACATTTTCGACAGATTTGTCAAGTGTCACTCAACTAGTTCAAGTTTTGTTCCACCTTACAAGGAGTTGAAAGTTTTTGTGATTCATAAACTTTTTATGTATACTTACGTGTATACTTACCTGTTCATAGCAAGTTTGTGGTGTGCGTGTCAATGTGCTAGTGTGCGACACAATGTCGGTCCAAAGAGGCGGGGTTGGAAGCTTTCGCTACTGTTTCTATTATTGTGCAACCACAGACTTTGAGATTTATGATTTGGAAACTGAAGATGCTGCAAAAGATGCTTGGTAAATATACATTTAACTGGAGTATTGTTTAGTGAGAGAAGTTACAAGAAATGACTAAGATGACAATATCAATGACGCTATTTCCAAACACTTAGCAGATTTTGATGCTGTAATAATGTTATGATTAGCTATCGGTTTAGTTCGAAGCGAAGTCAAGTACAGTTGCACCGTTGACGTCGAGAAAAGTTGTACTGTTTTATTTGCATCTTTTCTTCGTTTCTTATGTATCGAAGCATTCTTTAGCCAATCGGGAGAAACAGTAAGAGATGAAGGGTTGGGCCTTAGGCACTTACACGCCGAAACACAACGCTGTGGTTTTTTTACGCCACTTTTCTGCGACGCCGTGGTATCACTCCGGGCGAAACGGAGTGTCTGAAACCCATTCGTGTGGAAGCATGGCTTCCACAACTGATAACAATTTTTGCTTTGGTACGGAAAACGACTAAGGTGCTTTAGTCCTTTAGTTATTCCTATCTATTAAAGAACCTGTCTATATTTTTGTAATCTTTCAAAGAATATAGAGACAAGGATTCTTTGATAAGTCACCGTGTAGATTTACAGAATTCAAATAACTATTTGTAGCTTCATGTTTATGTGAGTCATCTACGTCCGTCAGTAAATCATTTTACAGTACTAATTCGTTATTCGCTTATCTTACTGCGTGCAACAGATAGTCATATTATAATACAATATTCTGTTATATCATTTTTATTCGCCTTGACCTGACCTCAGAAATAGATTATAATTTTATCTCCGTATAAAAATACTCTAGACTTTTATAGGTTGTTTGTGTATCTGATTTACCTGGTATACTTCTGGTGTCGAAACTCATCGAGACTTAAGTGACATCTTTTCTTACTGTAAAAGGAGGGATTTGTAATTTCTTTGGTGATTGATATGTCAGCTCGTTTGTAAAGCGTAAATGTATTTTAGCCCCACTCAACATCTTTTTGCAATGTTATGCATTGATGCCAGGTTGTGTATTGTGGTGATGATATTATAATTGATTAACTTGATGATTAAGTATCATTTGCAGCTTTGATTCGTCTATGTATCTCATAGAAAACCCCTTCTAGAATGATTGGTCTTTTGGTTCTAGTAGTTTTGGTCTTTTGCGTACAAGTGATAGTGATAATTATATTATATAATTTGTCCAGTAGGATCTTTTGGTCGTGGTAAAGGCAATTGTCCAGAAGTTATCTGTTTATCAACCAAGCATAATAAAATTCTTTGATTCAATAAACTACATATTGTGCAAAACAAACGCTCTTCCTACTTGACCTTTAAAAACAAGAGCTTGAATGTTTTATTGAATCGCTCTTATCTCTCGGAGATAATCGCAAGGAAACAATAGCCTTATATAAATAGATATTGGTTAATACGCACTGTTTGGTGTAGATGTCTCGTTTACATTGGCCGGTCGCAGTTCTCTCTGTAAACAAAGCGCCAGTGTATGATGTAATGTGTTTACTCAAAATACTGAAACCACGATTCCCGAGTGTGTTTTATAAATATTTTCCTGTTCCCCTAGCCTTTTGCCCTTGGTTGTTTTGTAGGCTTTACGATACATATTTATTTCGATAATTAAGGGTATTGTCAACGACTGTTGAACGCGTTGCCGACATCCTTTTTTACCATGTATGTGATGTACTACCTGAGTTCTTTCACCCTATACATATAATGAGACAGCAATAGCCAAATGCCAGTGAAATACGCGATCTTAGCTACACTCTTCACAGTCCCATTTCAGACAGATTTTATCACGGCAATAAACCCTGGAAAGACTTGTCTAAGGGATCCATTTAAAATTCTAACCCTCTTTGTAAAGATATATTTCTGCTTCACTTACAATCTTCATATACAGCAAAAAGTATAAAACATACAATTTCAACATCTGTGTTCAACTCGGTATTGATAACGAGTCGATATAATATATGTGTAAGCATATATTATTAGCAAGCCAATAAACGGCTGCTCTTTGTTGGCCCAATCATTTATGCATAATTTTATTAATAATGTTGCTTTATCATCCTACATTTCAAGATTTCGTCAGTCGAAACAGAACTTATATTGACACAAATAACAAAAATAGAATGAGACCTGAACATTAGATTTGTGATGTTTGGGTGCTCTTGAAAACCTTTACTAAAAAAATTCCTCAACTTCTCTCCAAATTTTGGGGATGCAGAAATTCATACTAACTTTGGACAATCTGTAGTTAGTCATTTAATTCTTTGTCATTCACAAAAAACAGCATTTCCACATGCTGGGGTAGCCGGCTCGGCCTGGAGCAGCAGGAAAGAAACAAAGTTGTTTTAGTCAGGCAGAGTATTAAACGACAAGAACAGTAAGTGACTGACACGCAAAGTACACGCAAAAATGACAATTTTAAAAACTAAAAATTAATAAATGCGGTACCACACCATACCTAAATAATTCGCCCAAAAATATTGAATGATTTTATGACGATTAACGTAATCTTTCTTTGTTACAGCAACGGCGTGAACGTCGAAGGCTCCACACATAGACAAGTGGTGGACCTCATCAAGTCTGGAGGCGACTGTCTCACTCTCACCGTCATCTCTGTCACACAAAGAGTGAGTACACTTACTAATAGAGCATCCGTTCTTAATGGGTATCAAGTATCAGGTATTGCTTATTTTCATATGCCATCACTCATCAGCTGTCTAAAATATTTGTTTGAGCGTGATCCTCCAATTTATGAATTAAATTGGTTCATGTTTTCGTTTCCTTGGCCCAGGTTTTTGCTTTACTGGTTGTTTTTTTTTTATAATTGAGACATATTTAATTCTCTATGGATTCGTGTCCATGTCCTTGTTATATAAATGCTATTTTACTATACATTGTCAAATATTTGGATTATGATCTTACTCGATATAATCCTCACTAACTGAAATTGCCTTTTATTGCGGTTTTCGTTCTAAACTCAACTTTACAATATAACATCCTGCGTACATCAAAGTTCTTTCCGATCAAACTCCACCCATAAAGCTTAAATATAATTTCTGGAACGTCGCAATCGATAGCAGTTAACACGTAATAACATAAAGTAGTAACAATGAATATTTTATACGTAGGATTCGGATCGATAACTGCGTATGTTTGATTGTGTATCCCCCTAAACTAATTTGACCAAGCTAGAGGAGCGATAGAAATTATTGTGGCGTGGGATGTCACTTTTCCAGTGATTCGTAGCTATCATATCAATTAACTAATTGCCGTTTACAGTATACTCAAGGTCATCAGCAATTGGATACTCATTACTCAGTAATTTGTCATCAGAATGTTACTGTCGGAAATGTTCTTGATGACGCGTGCTTTATGGATTTCCCGTCGAATGAGATTATATTTTATTTCAGTTTATTTAGATAAATTCTAGCCATATACGTAACACAATTATTTTTGTGATATCCAGGTATTAGTATCAAGTTTCTCATTAGGAGAATAACAAGCGTAATGTTGTTTCCAGCAATTTTTTTTTAGGTCGTCTAACGCGTTGTCTGATGCTAAGATGATAGCGTCCTAACGGAGTTACAAGTATATTGCCGGGCTTTTATAGGTTGTTAGAGATTTGTGGATAGGGCATTTGATGATAAAGGTAAATTTAAAAAAGAAGAAGGTAGGTTTGAATTAAATATGTATGTGCATTTCTTGTTCTTCAAAGAACATACAGCGCGATGATATTTAATGTTTTTTTTATTTCTATTCCAGGAAGCAGAACGCCTAGAGCCATGCGACGACGGTTCAGCGCCTGTAGGCGTTATCGGTGGAGCCGCCAACTCCCGCGCCACAGTTTACCAACGTTACGACTACACTGACAAACGTTCCCTCCCTGTGTCCATCCCCGACTATCGTATAGTGATGGAGAGGAATACGGGGAGGTCGTACGTTGCCTTCAACGTACATATGGCGGGCAGACACCTGTGCAGTAGGCGGTACAGAGAGTTCGCTGCGTTACATCACACTCTTAGAAAGGAATTTTTAGGTAGGTAACGCAAAAATTGAGGAGGACCTAATTTGGTTCCCTGTGGTACTCCTGTATAGTTTCTTTTCTACATCGTATTTTTTAATTTGTTATTCCATTTGGTCATCAACTTAAATTGTTTTGTAACGATTATTTAAAACGTAGTGGCCTACCCCGGCTTTACACGGGTTACGTTTACGTTACTTAAGTTTAACAAGGTTAGCAAGGATCCCTAATCATATTAATATTTCACTTAGGATGAATGTAGCTTTCCATCGATGAAAGAAGTTTTGAAATCGCCACCATATTTTTGACTTTTTTCCTCTTTATGACGTTAGTGTACTTAAAATTGAACAGATTTTCAGAGCAACACTTTACAAAGGCTTCCAACAAGTCATAAAGCATCCAACTGTTCCAGGTTTCAACTTTCCTAAGCTACCCGGTAAATGGCCATTTACATTAAGTGAGCAGCAATTGGATGGCAGGAGGAGAGGTCTTGAACAGTATTTAGAAAAGGTTAGAAAGTATATTCTACATCTTTAATTAGCTTTTATTCTTAACCATGTTTTCAAAACATAGGACTACTATTTTCGGTAACTGATTTAAGAATTTCCCATTTCTAGGTATGCGCGGTCCGGGTAATAGCAGAATCAGATGCTGTCCAGGAATTCCTGACAGATTCGGACGACTCCTCAAATCCCACCCCAGTAGACTTGAAAGTACTTCTCCCTGATAAAGAAGTGGTTACCGTCAGTGTACTCAAGTCTACAAACGCAGACGATGTCTACAGAGCCGTTTGCGAAAAGATCGGACTGTCGAAGTCTGTGCAAAAATATTTCTATTTATTCGAAATTGTTGAGTATAATTTTGGTAAGTTTGTTTCTACCTCGAATATTTATTCCTTACCTCATTTTTATGGGTGTAATATGTATATACTAGTTTCTTTTGCATTGCTCCAAGAACTTGGTGTTAAAAGGGTCAAACATTGTTTCCAGAACGTAAGCTCCAACCGAATGAGTGTCCTCACTCGCTATACATACAGAACTACTCGACGGCGTCTAGCAGTTGTCTCTCAATACGCAAGTGGCTGTTCAACCCTCGTACTGAAATATCTGTCGTCGCTGAAGACTCTACTGCTGCCGCGTTTATATTCTGGCAGGTTAGTTCAAGTCATCTAGTTAATTTGGAGTTTTCTCTTACGGATCTAATATAGTCAAGTCGTGGTGCCGCTTCTCATGCATGAGGGCGCGCAAAACCTTAAAACTACCAATATGATTTATTCTCAGTTTTATGTATTTTCTATGATTATTTAGACACCGCTGACATACGGTGAAGGAAATCGTCGTGAGGAAATCTGGATTTATAAAAAAATCATAAGGAATAATGATAAGTTTGAAATCGCCAATGCGTCTTAGGTGGGGTGATTAATATACAAACCTTCTTCGTGTGAGAAGAGGCTTTGCTCAGCAGTAAGCACTTATAGGTTGATGATGTGATGTGTGACACGGTTCTAAAGAAATGTACAAATGATTTTAAGGTATCATTAGTAATTGTGATCGCTTAATACGTGTATATAACTTACGTAGGCGGTGGAAGACGTGAATCGCGGCGTATGCGTGGCGGGCGCGCGTCTGTACCAGCTGAAGGCTCTGCAGACAGTCCGGCGCGCCGCCGACTACCTGGCGCTGGCGCGGTCCCTGCCCGGCTACGGACACGTCGCCTTCCCGGCCGCGCGCGCAGACCGCACCGACCGCACCGATCGCGCCGACCGTACCGAGCGCAGCGACCCGCTGTGCGTGGCGCTGGGCTGGCCCGGCCTGTCGCTGCACGCGCCCGACCCCGACCCCGCGCGCCCCGCCGCGCCGCCCGCAGATATCCCCTGGCGGGACGTCCGCGACTGGCGCGCTGACGATGAAGCCGCCGCGGCACGAATCACCTACACGAGAAACGATAACCACACACGTACTCTCACACTCTATACGCCATATGTAAGTATTTACCTTCTTAGCTTTACCAAAAAATAACTTATCGACTTTTAAGTCCTATGCGTAAAATTAATCATAAGTTATAAACAATAAATCACAATAAAATCTAATTTTAATAACATAAAAAAGTCTCTAAAGTTCCCTTCATTTCTGTTTTCAGTACCAATTCTTATGTAACTGCATGGACAGAATAGCCGAAGAAGCAAACTGGGTAGACACTGGGGAATAAACATCGTCCCAAGACGCCCACACACAACATAAGATGTAAGCTACGGAAACGGTATTATGCCACTTCAACGTCACAATGTTTGGTAGAAAAAAGTATTTATTACCTGGCAACATTAACACAAAGTATTGCCACCTCATACAATTTCTACCAAAATGGCGGCGCGAGAGTATTAGTTCGTTATTCTTATTATAAAATAATATTAAAAATAATTATTTATCCTAAACCTTTTCAATACATACCTTCTAGTTGTAATTATACTAGCAATATTAGTTTTCAAACAAAATGTCACAAAAAGAGTCGAATTTGTTCCTTGATATAGAATATATTATGAGTGGTTGTCAAGCCATTCTCGGATAAAGACAAAATTCTACTTCGTAGTCATTGTAATTTATAAAATTTATTTAAATTTTCGTGTCATTTTGTATGAAAACTTCAATCCGTAATAGGGAAATAATTGTTCCCTGGACGCAATATCAAGATATAAACTGTAGATGAGTATATTATACTATTTAACTTTTAAGCAGTGCTTATAAAGAATTATCTGTAGAGTAATTACAATTATCCAGTTTACGATTTGAATGAATATTGGGAGATAATAAAAAAGTGTAAAACTCAAAGATTTTGTTATTATTAACTTTGAATGCTACTGATATTCAGTGGCGTTGTAAAGTCTTCTAAAACTACCAAAATCGTAAGATATTCCCGATATTCTTTAGTCAGTCGTGTCACTCAAGGTCTCTCTCCCTAACTTAGGTATTATGTACTTACAATATTATAATACGATTTTATTTAGATCTGCTTCATACTATACGCAAAATCATTTTAATTTATACCTTAATCTATCATTATATGGGTAGAAATAGATCATTAATTACATGGCTCTGTGCTCAGAGTGATTTAATGCTTACTTTACCTAGTTCTTTGTAATTGTTTTCGCAATGAAATCATTTCTAAAGAATAGTTTGAGCAGTCATTAAAGGCTCTGAGTATGGAACTTAGTCTAAATATTTTTATTAAAACAATCCATCGATCGAATTGTTCGAAAATAGTTTAATATAATATGTAGGGAAATGTTTTTATTTACATTTATAATATTATACGCATCGTAATAGCAGCTGAAAGCGCAGTTTTATTTATAAGACAATTTTATTTAGTTGTATTTTTAATATATTCGTGTAGTAATCGTAGTGATGTGAATCATTAACGCATTTACAGTGATAATGTAAAATATATTACAAATTAACTTTAAATCAATAATCTTCATTATGTAGGTTATTTTGTTTGTAAAATATATTTAATCATATCAATAAACAGTTCTATTTATTACGAAAATATCGATCAATCAATCGTTTGTTGTTTGTCTAAGTCACTAGATGGCGTTGTTCTCAAAAAAACAAGGTAAACTTGAATGATGTATTTTTCAAAAAATGTTGATTAAATATGTTTTACAAATAAAGACGTTAAGAATATCATTAATAGGGATTAAGTAAAATCAATTATATATTATAGTTCGTGAGGTGTACGTGTTAGGTGTTTGAGTAACCGCCTTTATACTATTATCATTTTTAGAGTTTATTTGTGGCTGTTTAAGTGATACATGTAATACATTAACAAATATATAAAAATGGCCTCTACGTAACTTAAATTTTGAAATGTTATCTATAAATTTGAAATTGTGTTTGATTTCTAGATTTTTGCCCCCAATATTGTCTTGTGGTAATAGTTTCTGAGTTGTGTTCATAGGTGTAGGTATAACCTATGGCTAGAATGCACAGAAATATGTTTTAAAAACAACGTTCGCGTAGTTTCAACGATGTCGCAAGCCTTGTGTAAGAATATAACTTTAACTCTTGTCAGTATTATTAAAATTTCAATCTTAACATTGAAAAGTTAGTCTTTGTTGCTATTTGTCATTAAATTACAACCGTAGCGGCCAAAACCGACGGATGTAATATTGAGTATGTTACATACTCGGGAACTACTCTACAAGATGGTGTTGGGACTTAACGTTTTTTCCTTTATTTTGATCATGGTCAGATTTTAGGAGTATAAAATGCCGTTGGTTTCACATTTAACCCTGTTAATGTATGTTGCTGTTAAAGGCTATTTTATAATAGTTTAAGCCTTTCTTACATATCTATTATTATACCTTTATCTTGTATTATATTTATAGATTTTATATTAACGTTTTATATCACTATTGATTGATCAATGTAATGTTTTTTGGAAGGTTAAAAAATGGAAATATATAAACCGGATTTATCATCGTGCTTATTTAATGGGAGCTGGACGTTTTTGAATGTGTTTCGTGAATCATATTTTTTTCTATATTTTTTAAAGTCCATACGAATTATGAGATAAATGGTGCCATAGAAATGTTCAAGGAGAAATAATCTCTATTTGTAATGGTAATAAAATATATTTGGTATTCACGATGATATGAATAGATGTGTCGATTGTATAGCAGTAAGAAGGTGGAAATGTAATATTTATTGAAGAATTAAATGTCGACAACGTCTATTTAATTCGTCGTGGAACAACACTATTATGCACTTCCTTGGAAACTTTTGTTGAAGAGAGATATAGGAGTTATACCTATGTCAAGCCAGAGATTATTGAGTCGACCAAAAGTAAAGTATATACCAAGAATTTTACTACAAAGCTTTTTATATTATGAAAAACGAAATGAATGCCATGAGACATACTAAATGAAAATAATGACTTAGGTACTCACATGAATCAATTGAGAAAATATGTACTAGTTTCAAGTCAGAACGAGACTTATTCAGCGTATGCGTCGCGGCGACGTTGCGCAGCCAAATCACGTGGTTATTTTCAATGAATTCAGTATAGAATTGTTTGGTAACAGGTTCGGTTCTGTTTATACTGAGACTATACCAATGTCTCTGGGGTCTAGCAAGCTCACATGGTCCCAAAATGTTCCTGTTCTTTAAACGAATTTAATCAAATCCTCTACTAAAACGAAGCACTTTAAAAATGTTAATTAAATCCATGATATCGTCTGAATGTTGCTATATTATAAAAATGTATCGTCCTTTGTAATTTATTCTAATAATTGTGTTGTGCTACTCACAATGTACACCTTAAACAATTGTTTGTAGAAAATATTCTTATTATTACGTTACACTGGCGTGCAAGATTATGGCCCCAGATTTTACAAGTGGTATTTTTCATACACACAACAGTTACTGAAAAATAATATGAAACAGAATTACACGCACGGTCTACGCAAGATTTGAATTGTGTGAATGCTAACACCAAGTAGGAACTTGCAGGTTTGAGTCCTGCCTGTGTCAAAACCACAAAATTTGTGTCATACTACTTCATGTATTTTTTATCTGTGCCGAGTAAAAATTGGGCCCTGTATCTTGCACGTCAGTGTAATATAGTAGCGGTAGTAGATATTAAACTTCATGACAAATTGGTTATTAATGACAAGTACTTATTTAACATTTGAGACGAGTTTCGCGTGAAAGTTATGTAAGATAAAAGTTACATTGCATTGAACTTTAATAGAAGCCCTGTGTAAAATGGTCCGCAGAATATTAGCGCGATTGTTGAAGAGTATCACTACAGCTTTCCTGAATTTGAGCTAAATAATCGTTCCAATTTCTAAGGAATACGGAATCTGATACTAATTTTATTCCAGATTAGCAGTGTCCCGCAGTTTTGTAGTATTATTATGTTCATTGTCCCAACAGCGAAAGAATTTTCAAATCGGTTTTGGAGCTATTCAATTCAACAAACAATCACATCTTTCCTCGCACGGGTCCTAACTTTTTGCCGCGGCGTCCAAAGAGCTAAAGTCAAAATCATTTATTCTTTTGAAACGTCAAATTGCCATTTTTTTCATCTACTTTTCTGAATGTTTTGTGCCTAAGAAACTTCTCTTTATGATTTAACGTGGTAAAATATAGAATGATGTGAATCGATTTTAACGTTTACCCGTGATGGGAAAAGTGTGACCAAGGGAAAATGGGTTTAATTGATATATAACAAGTAGATAATACGGTAATAATTAATACGTGGCCCACGGAAAGTAATTAAATTTTGCGTAAGTGTATTGTAACTTTTATCTTGCACACAAATATAGATAGGCATATGAAATGCAATAATCGCTTCAAATTACGTTGGCCCTGTGTATGTAGATGTTAGGGGTAAAAGTAATTTTGCTTCTTAAAGTTAAATGAAATCAAATAATGTATATTTTACGTTATTAAGAGCAAAGTTGTTGTCTTGAAAAGGTGCCATTGCACACACGACTGAGAAAAGTTATATAGTCTGTGTTTGTTTAAAAAAATATCTAAGTTGCTTTATTGCGAGGATCTATAGTTTTTGCTGTTTGCATATTTTAATAAGGCAAAGCGATATAACATATGAAATATGCTATTACGCGCATGTATATGTTGACAAAGTAACTACAAATTTATTAACAATATCCATAATAATTATATATTTTTTTGTAAATTAGTATAATTTTTTTTCGTTAATTTATGTCGTGGTCTGATTTGTAAATTAAAAGTCAATGTTAATTTTTTTTAGTTAATTTTCGTGTCTAATGTTAAACTATCCAGTTTTTTTAACAGATTTAGAGGTCATTAATGAATTAGATAATTATTGGGAAACAAAATTAACATTTTTATGCACTCCAGTGTACGATATGGATACTGGTATTATAGTGTAAGAATTAATTCTCATTTCTGTAATGTTATTACATAAGCGCTTACAAATATTGGTGACCATGTTGGTGATGTAATCTTGGTCAAAACGTTGGCGTGATTGGTCCAATATTTGTGGGCGTGGCTCGTTGTATGATACATTCCAATCATAGCATAGATTCACTACACATTGCTGTGTCCGATACTTAGTGGTTGTTGGACGGCTTTTTAATAAACTGTGGAATATAATACTAAATATTATATTTAAAACTTGAATACAGATATCACACGAACCTACCCTAATTGCCATCTGTAATAGATTATCAATTTTATTTCAAAGTTTTAAGGTTGAGAATTAACTGAAGAAGTAAGAGTTGAGAATTATTTTACTAAAAAGAACGACTTGCTGACGAGAATTCTAACTGAGAAAACACTAAGTCACAGCGGGACTCTTATTGAGAGGTTTTCTCAGTAGATTTTCGTGAGTAAGTCGATATTTTCAATAGATTTAGAAGTAATATTCATTTGTCTGGATTTAGCATAAAACATTTAGTTAATTGTTGAACATGATAGACGTTCTATATAATAGAATCAATGTTCATTAGTTTTTTTTGGAAAATGGGATTCCTTTTTCCGTTACCAAAGTCGTTCCTTATTATTCTGGTTCATAATATTTTGGATTGACAAGAGTTTGAAGACTGTCTTCCAACACTCTCCTTACTGCCCAAACGCATGTAAAAAGTCGTCCAACTTGAATTTAATTAATTATATGTAATTATGTGTGTTGTCCACAGTGTTTGTGTGATACGATCAGTATGTATAGATTTCGCTTAAATAAATAAAATTGTATTCAATTTTGTTTTTTTTTTTGTAAGCAATATGTTTTAGGGTGTGCCGTCTTTTTTCTGACTGATGTTTTTTTGTTTATGTGAGGGGACGGTAAATGAGCTGACGGATTATCTGTAAGCAATCCGTAGCGCTCATGGACAACGGAGGAGTTTTGAGTACGTTGGCGGCCTTTCGGGAATTAGGTTTTTAGAGATTAAGAGATTAGGTAGGGGAAGGATTGGGCCTCCGGTAGGCTAGCTCACGGCAAAATAACGATATGGTGGTTTCACGCCGGTTTTCTGCGAGGCCGTTGTATCGCTCCGATCGCGACGACCCATTAATGCCGAAGCATGGATCGCCCACAACAGATGTGATGACGCTGATGACGCTTGTTCTATTCTTTTAAGGCTCGTGCTTAAATACAATTTGAGTTATCACAATGCCCTGTCGTCATCGCTATTACCGACCATAAAACTCCAAAATTACTTTTTCCGATGCACTTGAAACGCAATAATCAGAAAATTGCATACTCCGAAATGATAAGGATCGAACCTGGGGCCTGATAGCCAGAATCCGCTCCTCCACATTCAGGTCAATACCACATTGTGTGACTTCTCAAATATCCTTTTAATGCAGACTTCCTTCCTAGCGTGAATTGAAACGCAAGACTAAACTCTTCGCTAGAATTACTCCAACTGTTCTTTAAGTGGGAAATTACATAATCTACGTGTGAACTTTTGTTGTTATGTTTCATCTAGGAAGAAAATACTTGTAAGTACTACATTTTATTAAATAAATGTTGCTTAACACCTATTTTATACTCATAGTATTCTATTTCGCTTGCTTCTTGCTTCTACTACTGGATTCTCTGCATCACCCAAAGGTCGACTGGTAGAGAATGCTCAATGCATTAAGTCCGCCTAATGTAGGTACATATTAAATTGTGCATGAAGTATAAATAGATAAATAAACATTCCTGGGTCGTGGATAGCTACCCAGACCTGGAACATAGTCCCCCTTATTACAAAACAAGATGTATCTTGAGCTTAGGTTTATCTAAACCATTGAGTCAGGTTTTTTATTTTGAATCTTATTCTCGTCTACTTTCAATTTGAAATACAAAATCTGGCTCAATAGTT